CGTCCTCTAAGCCACGGTCCAACATCATATCACAAAAATCAGTAGAACCACGATCTTGACGACTATGACCAGTACGCTCACCATCATGTATGATGACGTTAAGTCACCCCAACAAGCCAAAAATCATCCATAGAGAGGAAAATGTGGTGAAGACCCCCCCACAAGTCCCTCCTAACATAGGCCTCAAAAACAACATAAACAGAAGTCAAGTAAATAGGTGGTGCTAGTCTAGGATCTACAACTCTGACATGTAGGAACTGGATACGATCATCAATAACAGTAATGATAGTACCCACATTCTAGAATACCCAAATCTTATTTGACTCATTTTGAACCCCAGTGTCGAAATATAGATAACGACGAACAAAATCAAACCTCATCTCCAAAACCGTAGGCTCTAGAATAACCAAGATATAAACCTGATGAAACTGAATAAGTTTTCTCAGGTGCCTGCGAGTAGCTACACTAGCCATACTTCTCACATTCCAGATGATGGCACTCATTAGGTGAGGACTCCTTATTGGTTGTATTTATGCCTTTAAAAGCGTGTTAGGGATTGGGAATTGAAGTTTTTTTATGTTCAGTTATCGTGACTGGATCTACACTCGAGAGATCTAACTCTTCCCAATCTCCTCTAATATCTCCCTCACTACAAGCATCATCTACCATGACATTGATGGACTCCATCTCGACCCGTGTATGAGAATTGTAAACTTGATATGCTCGACTATTTTTAGAGTATCCTAGAAAAATTCCTCATTAGTCATTACTCTTGGAGTCAAACTTGCCCAAATTCTCGCTATCTCTTAGAATATAGCACTTGCTGCCAACACACAAAAGTACTTGACAATAGACTTTTTACCGTTCCAGATCTCATATGGTATCTTATCAGTTTTAGATCTAAGATAAACCCTATTCACTATGTGACATGCAGTGGCTTCACCCCAGAAATGCATAACTAGTCCTTTACCATGAAGCATGGTTCTAGCCATTTTTTGAAACACGTGATTTTTCCTCTCAACTATTCCATTTTGTTGTGGAGTGATCAGCGAGGAGAACTTATGCTGGATTCCCTCATCTAGGTAGAAGTTCTCAAGATTAGAGTTTTCAAACTCTTTTCCATGGTCACTATGAATTATAGTTATGGTGAAGTCTTTATGATTTCTAAACCTCAATTTTTTCTCTCAACAGCTCAATCTATGTATATTGAGAGAAATCATCTACCACAACCAAAATATAGCTTTTACCACCAAGACTATCAGTCTTAGATGATCCCATCAAGTACATATGGAGTAATTCTAGCGGCTTGTTTGTCAAGATTTTAGAAGTTTGTTTATGATTTACTCTAAACTGTTTATCTTGTTGACACGGTCCACATAGAGTGTTTTCAATTTTTTCAGGCTTAGATAAACCATTAATAAGTTCCTTTTTAGCTAGTTTAGACAAATTCTTATAGTATATATGACCAAGGCGTTGATATCATAGTTTAGTCACATCAATCTTGGCACCGCTACACATATAGTTAGAGTTAAGAAGAACTCCATAACAATTGTTAGAAGTTCTTACACCTTCGAGGGCAACGTTACTAGTAGAATCATACACAGTACATATTTTCTGGACAAAACTAACCTCAAAATTAAAGTCACATATTTGACTAATGCTTAACAAGTTAAACTTTAAACCTTTCACATAAAGCACATTTAAGATAACAGGTAGTCTAGATATGTTAACGGTACATTTACCTAGGATAGGTGTAGTAGCCCCATCTCCAAAAGTAACCATACCGCTATTTCAATCATCATGAGTAGAGAACAAGGCTTTATTAGCACACATATGTCTAGAATAAGCATTATCAAGATACCACATAGATTTATTTTGAGTTTTAAGTGCAACGTGGACAACATAGCAATTCAATTGTTCATTAGACCTAGGAAGATCATTTTTCTTAATCTAAACCTTCTTAAAAGTATATGTAATCCTAGTCATTGTGTCATTATCTCAGTTAAGTGGCTAACCTGATTGTTTTCTAGTAGACCTAGATCCTAAGACACTCTTGTCCTTGGGTTCAAGAGTAGTAAGATTTTTAAGTTTGTTAGTGACGAGGACAAACGTGGTCTTGGATGTACTAGTGGTGTTGTTATTGGTTTGAACATATCCTAAACTTTGTCTATTCCCAGCTGGTTTGTTCATCCCCAACAGATTATCAAACTTCTGAGAACCATTTAAGAATGAATGAAAGTGAGTCTCATATTTTTCTAGTTCGCTTGCTAAGGTTTTAACCTTAGCTTCTATGTTCTTACTTACAAGTCTTAACTCATTTAGATTTTTGGTAGAATCCTGAAGATCATATATGAGTTTTTCTCTCTCAATCTCAAGTTCATAAACATTTTTCAACACTGCTTTATTGACATTCTTTATCTTAAGAGTCTCATCATATAACCGTCGGTATGCCTCATGAATGTCTCTTTCATCCTCAGAATTTTCACTATGTTCATTATTTTTTACGTTCTCACTATTCTTGTCAGATTCATTCTTAACTACAGATGTGAATGCCATAAAGTTCTTTTCATCCTCATTACTAGAGGTATCACTCTGAACACTTGAGTTGGATTCATCATCACTCAGAGACACTGCTAATGCCTTACTCCTTCCTTTATTTAAGTTATTCTTAAAGGTGGGACATTCATTTCTATAGTGACAAAAAAACTTGACACTTATGACATCTAACATACTGAGGTTTCCTACTGGAACTCCTAGCATTTGACTTATCACGCTTGTCTTTCAAAAATTTATTAGGTGTATCATTCTTCCTCTTTGAGGTTTTCTTCTATTCCTAAAAGCCTTTTGGAATTTCTTTACAGAATAGGCTATCTCATCATACCTAAGGGTCTCAGTGTCAATATACTTACTCTCATCTTTCCTAACGGTATTCGAGGCTATAGATTTAACTTTCTTCAGTTGAGATCCTACAAGTTCTTCTATCTTAATAGTATCTATGTCCTTACTCTCTTCAATAGTTGTAATCTTAGGTCTAAACCTCTCAGGCAAAGATCTAAGCACTTTTTTGAACTTTTTTAGACTCGGGGATCTTCTCACCTAGGTTGAAACTTTAGTTTACTATGTCATTAACTTCGTATAGAATTCATCGAATGATTTATTGTCCTTCATTCTAATTTCTTCAAATCTAGAGGTCAACATCTGTAGTTTAGAGTTCTTAACAATTTTGGTTCCCTCGTGTATGGTCTCTAAAATATCCCAAACTTCATTAACAGTTTCACACTTCAACACTCTTCTAAACTCCTCTACAGACATAGCCATAAATAGGGCATGAAGCCCTTTACTATTCCAGTTGCATTGAGCTAATTCATCTTTGGTCCAAAGAGAAATATCAGTATGTGTAACAATACCTGCAACAGTAGATAAGGTGCAGACCAACCGCGTACACTAATCCAAATACGCTCATCTAAGGCTTTAATGAATGCTCTCATTTGAACCTTCTAGTATGCATAGTTGTTTCCGTAAAAAATCGGAGACGCGGATAGTAACTGACTCATCTAGATTTATTATGGGCCAGGAATCAAAATGTGGCTCTGATACCAATTGAAATTACGTAGTTCGACTTAAATTACACCTAGAGGGGGAGGGGGGGTGAATAGGCGATTATACGAAATTAAAACTAATAATTAAAAAGCAACAACTCATTTTTAATTATCTCTATATGATTAATCAATCAATTCAGTTTTTGTATGTTGAACTGCCGTAGCTATATGAAAAATAATAAATAACACAAGAAATAGTAACGGAGAAACCCTCAACTAGGTAAAAACTCCGGGCCCAAGCCAGTAACACTCCACTATAAACGAATTTAAACTTACAGTGTGTCAGACAAGACTATCACTAGTACTTTCTGACCTCCTAACTGTAATTTCCACAGCCTCCTGGATTGCGTGCCCTTGCACCAACTCCCGACTGTAATTTTCAAAGCCCTCTTAGATAGCGTGCTTCGCGCCAATTCCCGTCTTTTTGAATTGTCTATCTTCTGTGGATCTACGAAGAACTCCGCGTTCTCCAACAGAACTTCAGTCACTTTCTCTTGATATTCAGAATTCTGATAGATGTTTAGGAAATAATGGTTTGGTTTTTGGTTTAAGAGATGACGATGTTTTTCAATGCAAAGAAATAATCAAGTATGAAAATTAGATTGCAATGTAATGAAGAAATCAAGAATAAGCTTGAATGCCTTGAAGGAAGTAATATGACGTTTTTCACATTGTTCAACCTATATAAATTCGTTTGGAGGCATGCCAGTATTTATACGGTAGGTTTAAGGTTGTATAGGTCGGATAAAAAACCTTAAAAAATGTAAAACAAAATTTTTCGGATAACATTGTAGCTCGAGCGAGGGCTTAGCGATAGGCGAGCGAAAGGTTGTCTCTCGAGCGAGAACAAGGCAGTAGGCGAGCAACAAAGTTTCTATTTCTGCCACTCGAGCGAAGACATGGCGATAAACTAGCGAAATTGCGGTATCGTTTTTCTCCTCTTTTCATACTCAAACCCTAGAACCTATAAAACTCAGCTTATACAAATTGTAACTTACTCAATGATTTTTACATTATATTAATTTCAGTCTTTTTTTATGTACAGACTTGTCAATTACAATAAAATCTAAGAAAAATAATTTTATTGGAAGACCTTGTGATTGAAAATAAATTTGAGAAAAATGAATTTTTAGAAAATGAGACTGACTTTCTTAACCTAGAATAACCGTGGAAATGGGATCAAGCAGTGAAAGTCCAATAAGTCTTCATATAAAATGTCTTGTGAACATTCCGTTATAACATACCAAATAATATCGTTAAAAAGAGTGCGCTTCTCTTGGAACAATATTATGCAGCAAGACAATTTCAATGCAAAATATAATCGCTATTCTAAATGATCTTTTATTTTTATCTCTACACGATCCTTCTCACAATGGGTAGACAAGATTATCTTGCCAAACTTCATGCACCACAATAAGCTTGCAACGCATATTGCAGTTTCCGGCCAGCCTCGGAGTAGTAAAAATCAAGAAACTGAACATGATCAAAGGGTTTGAAGAGTAAGGGGTGTTCCTCATCTACTAGCTCTTCTGGGGCCTTAATTATATAGCCCGCTTTTGGGATCGAAAATAACCCGATCGAGTACCTTGCTTCATTTCCGGTCATCATTACTCGGTGAAACGCAGAATGAAGTCTGCCGTTCGACCATGCCTACAAAAATTATCATGAAAATACAATTTTCAACATAAACCTAACGCGCTATTTAAAAGTTTACATACTTAACAATGCTTAACAAACTCCGAGACTATATATATATGGGAAATGGGCACTTTTTGTCTCTAAAGACTATTAATTTACTCTTAACCTTTAATTTTTTGCACTTGACATCTCAAAATTTAAATTGTATAACAAAACTCATCATTCTGTCTATTTTGACCATGAAAGCCACGTGAATAATGGATTTACCCTCCACTTTGAATAAATAAATGAAAATCAGGGAAAATTGCAGAGGGAGTTCCATAATTTTTCAAAAAGTACAAATAGATCTCTATGTATACAGAAAAAGAATAGAATTTTAGAAGAAAGAAACATTAAAATGTTATAGGACTGCGTCTGCAATTTCCGTTAATTAAAATGTTATAAGGATTTATCTTAAATAAACTTCTGAAAATGAAATTTATTAATAAAGTTAGGGGGTACTTACAAGGAAAGAGTCTCCAATCATGACAATGAAAGAGTCAAGTGAGGGTTCAACAGTAATCCACTGGCCATCTTTAGTTAAGATCTCTAATCCAGTTACCTCACTTTGATACAATATGGTTACAATGTTCTTATCAGTGTGGGAAGTCAATCCGAGCTTCGTCTCATTGCTTTGAGGTCCATCGTACTTCTGCATTCGAACAAGGTAATCTGTCGATTCCATGTGCTCATCCATGTATTTTTCAACTCCCAAGCTCTCAATAGTCATCCTTCTAACTATTTGATCTAATTCTGATAATTGTTCCGAGAAGGACTGTACGGCCTCGCTGCAAATACACATCAGTAAATTAGTATCGCAAGACAAGTGATATCGTCTATAACATCTAAGAATGTAGTCCCTGTTTGACAATCATTATTTGAGTAAAACAGAGTTTTGAATAGTGAATTTTTTAAACAATGTACGGTCAAAAAGTAGGAAATAGTTGTAGATTTATATGCAGAATATTTTACTGTGTGAATATATGTTTGAAAATGAATACGTAAAAAAAAAAAAATTTGAAATAACGGTCATCAGACAGGGCTTATACTTACCTAAAAATAGGGTTTCCGTTTGGCCACATGAGATTAGTGAATTTTTCCATCTTTCCAAGGGCTAGTGCATTATCAATACCCAAGCTCTCATAGAGTGGAACCAAGGCATGTTGGCCAACATAACCATGGTAGGGCTTGTTTGATCTGTTTTTCAGCTTAATTTGTAAAGGAAGATCGAAAAGCTCTTTTAATGCATCAAATGTTGCTTTTCGAGTTCCTTTTGGAATTTTATCAAATAAAGCCTCAAAACAACCGTATTCTTCTAGGGCCTGGCGGACTTGATTTTTCACCAAGTCCCACGTATGAGTACCTTGTTTGACCTCGGAGAAATCTATGGTGGGAAGCTTGATAGTTTTGGAACCCATTTTTCTTTCCTTACACTTGATAATAAGATAAGTGACTATTCTGTTTGGTGACTCCATTTCCAAGTCAGGTACCTATAAATAGATATCAATTGAGCCCTTGTCTAGCCCATTTTTCCTTCCAAATGTATTCTTAAATAGTGATTTAACCCCATTTCAACTACATATTTTTCAATAAAATAATATTACATACAAACCTATAACTTTTTCTTATTTTTTAACCACACATTCTCCATCATAACATCATTGATTTTACTTTTATACTTAGCCTCTATTTGACACACATTCTCTTAAGATACAGGAGACTACTACAATGCCAGAAAAAGAGTGACATGTACCCTGATCACTCACACCAGGGGGAGGGTCCACAATTTATTTGGAAATTTTTTATTGCATCGGGTCCCATAGCAATGTGAGAATCTGTCAAACCGCGTGTCAGACTTTTTCTGGCAGATAAGCTTTATCCTAAAATATATTCTTTCAAAATTCATGTTCAATTACACATTTTTGAATAAAATAATATTTTACATCACATCAATAATTTTTCTTTACTTTTTAACCACATATTTCTCATCATATAGCTATTTAAAATACATTATTTCCTCAATAATATCCATCAGACACCCCCTTAGTCTTTGTTTGATGTAGTTTGAAAAGTATAAAATATAAGTAAAAGTTAGAAATTAATTTTAACTCTATATTTGATAAGATTTACAACTTTCATCGACTTTTCAATCATATATTTTGTCGATTTTTATTAAAATCTATGCCAAACAGGGACTTCATTACAAGAAACTTGGATAAATTCTATCAAAAAATTATTTTATTCTATACCTTCATAATGTTCATAGAGAGTTATTCTCTCATTATTTCAAAAATCCTTTTTTTTATATACTCATTTTCAACCACACATTCACACGATAAAATATTCTATATGTAAATGCAAACTTTTTCTATTTAACCACACATTCTCTAAAAATTTACTATTCAAAACAATATTTTTTCCAAAAATATGGCCATCAAACAAGGGCTAAATATAAATTTATAAACTAAAATTTTCATGTATTTTAAGCCCCTATTTCATCCCAATTTTTAAAAAACTCATTGCTCTTCCAATTCATTTTCAACCACATTTTTCAAGAAAATAATTTGACACGCAAACTCAAAGTTTTTTCTTACTTTTTAATCACATTTTCCAAAAAAAATACTATTACCAATTCATTCCCAATAAAAATGGGGCTCAAACACAACCTATAAGTCCTTTGTGAAACCGAAAGCATCCATTGTAAGAAAATATCTGTCCAAATTCTTAATTATTAATTTTACCAAAAGGATTTAAGAATTCTGAATCTAGAGTCCTTGTGTAGATAAGAAAACTATAACAAAAGTGACTAAATCGTATTTTATTGGACAAGAAATGGATTGATTTAACTTAAATGTTATTTTAATATCCAACATATTATTTTTTAGCTTCAATTATTATTTTCAGTATCCTTATGGGGACATAAGATAACATAACAAAATGTAACATGAAAAAAAAAATTTAATAATAATTGCGCCAAGACTTTATGTCCATCCTCAACTTTTAGGTTGAAAGACTATATATTAGTGATGTCTAATTAAAAAATCCAAATTAAAAATCGGTGTTCAACAAGTTCTATCTATTACCCAATAATGTTGTCCAGGTATCTTCTATCCTTTTCCAAAAAAATAAAAATAAAAAAATCATTTGTAAATCTACATTGTAAATATAATTATGTACATGAAATATAAATTTTGCTTGGTTATGAACCAGCTCCGTCATCATGCAATAGTGCTGAGGGAAGGCTTTTGGCTTAGTTCAACACAACAATTGTTTGTGTAATTATTAGAACACAATTTAAAGAATTTGTACTTGAACAAGTGTATAGATCATATATATAAAAACTAAGATACAAAATTAAGAATGAGTATAGACACAATGTATCCATCGAACCTGCCCCAATCAGCAACCAGAGAACCTGCCCCCATTTTCTTCAACCGTTCCCTCCTCACCCACCGCTGCCACCACCGCGCTCCTTCTCCTTCCACCACCACCCTGTGAAGACGCCGCCACTACCACCACCCACTAGACGCCGCTACCAAGAAGGGACGATTTGAACGTCACGGAGTGAAGCGACGTTGGTTGTCTTCTTCGATTCTTCTTCCCCATGTTTTAAGTGGTGTGGTGATGGGTGCTGCAGGGATGTGCACGGTGGTTCTGTGGAACGATCAGATCTGTTTTTTTTAGTGGTGTGATGCGGTGGCGATGGAGTGTTGGCTGCGGTTGCGAACTAGTCCGGTGGTTGGGCGTTGCAGATCCATTGACTGTGGGTCCGGTGTTTTACGATGGTTGGGTGTGTGTGTTTGTGCAGCTGCAGTGATCGTATGGTTTGGGTGTGTTTCTTGTTGCGTGCAGTGGTGCGTTTCTGTGCGATGGTTATGCTGTTTTCTGTGCAATCGTTGCGGTGTTGCTGTGTGATGGTTGGATGTGCGGCATATAGCGGGTGTGGTCATGCTACACGCGATGGTGGTGAAGATGCGTCGACGATGGTGGCGTCGCTGGTAGAGTCAGTGGCAAGGTGGTGGCCACAAATGATTTGGTGATGGTCACAAATGATTTGATTGTTTGTGATCAATAAGTTGGTCGGTTTGTGACCAATGAGTTCGATAAACTGTGACGAGTACAAGTTGTATGACCTAAAAATTACTAATTTTTGAGTTAAAAATTATTAATTTGTGACCAATAAATTGACGATTGTGACCATAAAATAAGTAACGTAACTTTTAAATTTTGTGATTGTGACCGATGAACAAATTGTGACTTTTAAATTTTTTAAGTTGTGATCGATGAACAGATTGTGACCTATGAAAATTTTGAATCGGAGCAGTCGCTGGAATAGTTGCCGGAACGGTCGTCAGAGAAGAGTGGTGATCGGAAAGTCGGTTGGGGTGGTGGAGGTGGGGTGGGATAATTATATTAAATTAGAATTAAATATTTAATAATAAATTGATTTAATAATTCATTAATTATTAATTAAAAATTTAAAAAACCTGATTTGTGAATTTTCAAACTTGTTTTTGTATTTTTGAAAAAGTGTAAAGTAAATACCTTAAAACTGTATTATTCCCATGCTCAATTTAAGCCCAACTAACCACTCTAGCCCAGTAAACTCAACCACAACCCAAGTCTATGTCTAATTGTTCAACATTATTTAAAGACTTCATTTACTCTCATTCATTCAAGGAAAATAGTTGCAAAACTAGGTATTTTATTTAATGTACGTTTGACTAAGTTTAAAAAGTCCATTTATAATTTAAAAAGTAAAATTTATAGTATATACTTTTTAAGACTAAAGTTAAAAATCAATGATTTATTTTACATTTACAGATGTTACATGTTTGTCTAAACTTAAAAGTAATTAAATTTTGGTTTCTATGTATGTTTTCATATATTACTTATTTATTTTTGTAAGTTAAATTTACATATTTTGATAATAACACCTATATTATGTGGTCAAAATAAGTAACTTGTTCTATATTTAATTTTATAAATGAAAAGAATATTTGCTAAAAACTTATTTATTTAGAAATAATCTGATTATATGTATATTATTGAAATGAGTCAAACATGAATGTGAAATTAATCCAATTTCTCCGACTCTCTATATTCCCCGCTGATTCATGTGATATTATAATATGTTGGTATATATGTCCATATCAATAGTATTTTGAGAACGTATAATCTTGCATTATTATTGTGTGTTATGCATTATTTGAAAATGTGATTGTCAAAGTTCTTTGGAACTTGAACTCACTAGGTATTTAATTTTTGATTTATAAACATATATTTACTTAGAAAAATGCTATTCATCCCCAGTGGGGATGCATCCCCTGTCTATGTGGATGTAAATGATTGGTTAAATGATAGATGAAATTAAATGACTTATTTAATTTCACATATCATTTAATATCACATTAACGCCACATAGATTGGGGATGCATCCCCAATGGGGATGAATAGCATTTCTCATTTACTTATGTTTATCATGATTCCATCAGTCTGAATATCCTAGGGAGTTCGTCAATTTTCTATTTACAAGGAAGGCTACGAAAATCTAGTAAGATAACTTAGTGTTGACATCTTTTGGACATGAGTTCATTGAAAAAAATTAAGTTTTAGCCCACCTTAACGTCTTTTCTGGCTTCACCTCTGTTGACCGGGATCATTCAATACAATAGTATGGACACGAGACCAATGTAAACCCATGAAAAATACCTCTTTATCAAAGATAAACAAAAGCTATTATTGAGAACGTACAATCATGCATTATTATTGTATGTTATCAATTGTGATTGTCAAAGTTCTTTGGAACTTGAACTCATCAAGTACTTAATTCTTTATTGATAGACATATATCACTTACTCATGTCTATCATGCTTCCATCAATCTAAATTTTCTAGGGTGATCGTCAATTTTCCATTTTAGAAGGCCACAAAATCTAGTTGGATATTTTAGTGTTGACATCTCTTATGGAGTTCATTGAAAAAAATTTAAATTTTAGTCCACCTTAACGTCTTTATCTGACTTCGCCCCTGCTAACCAAGACCATTCAATACAACAGTATACACGACACCAAGGTAAACCCTTGAAAAATACCTCTTTATCAAAGATAAGTCGACACTATTATTGAGAATGTACAATCTTGCATTATTATTGTGTGTTATCAATTGTGATCGTCAAAGTTCTTTGGAACTTGAACTCATTAGGTACTTAATTTTTTTATTGAAAGATATATGTCATTTACTCATGTCTATCATGCTTCCATCAATCTAAATTTTCTAGGGAGATTGTCAATTTTCCATTTTACAAGGAAGGCTACAAAATTTAGTATGATATCTTAGTGTTGACATCTCTTATGCATGAGTTTATTGAAAAAAATAATTAAATTTTAGCCCACCTTAACGTCTTTGTCTGGCTTCGT